CTGCCAAGTGAATATTGCTACCAACTAAAATGGAAGAAAAAAGAGGCAGTCACTAAAATAAGAAATGAGCATACCTGTGATGTTTCAAAGAGCATTGGGTCTCTTCCATCAACGATGACTTTGTATTTATTGGCAGCCGGAGCTCCAAATGATAGAATACTGTAAGTAGAAGTTATAACGCAGCAAATAACTAAAGGTGATTGTTACATGATCTCTAAGATCTATATCATGAGGTCTCGATTACTCAAAGTATGGGTAATGCCAATGGAGAGATCGAAAATTAAGCGTTGCCATGGCACTTGAATATACACACGTTGTACATTGTCGTACATTCCCTAGCCGTCCATTGCAAAACTACGTAAAAATACAATGAAACCGAATGGAACAAACACATGTCTGCTTTTACAAAAACGTTCACTTTCATTCTAGTTTTGCTCCCACGGAACAACAACAACATCGAAGATTTTATTCACTGACCTTCCGCGCATTTTAATGCTTAATTTTGACTCTCTAAACATTACTCTTCCATACTAAGCTATTAACGTTAGGGTCTTGAAGTCTGGAAGATATAGTTTCGGATATCACAAAATGACTTTTGTATAATCGTGCAACAACTCACTTTTCATAACTGAACTGACACTGTGGTCTGACATCTCCTCGCTTGTACAAAGCTACGCCCTTAAAACTCACACCCAGCCAGAGCTCAGGAGGAAAGCCAGGATCTTTTGTCTAAAACAGAAAACACCAACTTCAACTTCAGCCAAGCTGTGGTTCACGTTAGTGTATATACATAAGTCGGTTGTAATGATAGAGCAGCACTGCGAAATGCTGGAGAATGGAGGGCTGAGAAGGGGGGGGGAGGGTCGAGGGGCAGGGGGAAGGAGGAAGGTCGACTACCACAGACTAGCATCCAGGAGGGGAAACAATACTCGATGTCAAAGCCAACTAGGAAAATAAGATCCCGAAAATGCTTGGCTGGGTTGTGTGCGCTGAAATGTGGAATCAGTTTTGTGCCTGCCGAAAAAAGTTCACGCATGCTGATTGCTCGACTGTTTAATTCTACACATGCACGTGACTGGTACATTTCTTTATGCTGTTTACTTGTCAGTGTGTTAAGAGGTAAACTTCACGTCTGTCCGTTCATAATAACCAGCCATCAATGGAAATAACCCATCAGTAGAAATCATCCACATCAATTCTACTCTACCTAAACGTGACTCGACGTGACGCTTATCTAATACAGATTACGGTACGGCCAAGCACTCTGTAACGCAATTATTCAATAGTGTGATATCTCAGAGAAAAATGTCTTGCTCAAAAACATGACTAAATCAATCGGACTGACAAGTCCCCTTCCCCCCTCCTCCCCCCCTGCAGACCACCCACAGACACAGTGTAAAGAGAGATTAACAGGCGTGGAATTTCTGTGGACATTTGAGCAGAAAGTATTGCGTTACGTACCTCCACGTCAAACAAAGTGGAGCCATACCCTGGCCAGCTTCTCAGTATTTCCATGTACTGTTTCTGAGCTTCTTCTTGATCCATGCCCTGAAAATTAGAAGAAAAACAAATTTGCATCAAAAGTTCTTTTACTGTTTTATGCCTTTTTAATGATTATCAAATTGAATCTGGCAATTTCATAAGGAAAAAAAATATTGCAAAAAAAACAAACAAACAAACAAACAAAAACAAAATGGCACATCAAAGTACTGTGTCCTGTATCTGTTATTTGAATTGTCCTAGAACATAATAAATAGTAATTACAAAACACAAATCCATCTAGTGACGGGGAGGAAGATTTGAACCCGGGACCTTCGGATTACAAATCCTGCGCCCTAACCACAAAACAACAATAATAAATAGACGCACTAGGGTCTCACCCTCATGCAATTTCGTTTTATACGTACCCCAAGCTTCTTCCACTGTTCACATATAGAACTCTTTATAAAAGACAATTCTTCTTCAGTGGCTTTCTTGCTATCGTCCTCGCCATTTTCTGTCCCACCAGCTGCAGGAGAACATGATATAACCCAAACGAAAGGTCACTAAAATGACCGACATATATTACCCTAAAACGACACATTCAAAACCATTCATAGAGACAGGAGAGAAGAGAGATGGTTAACACGGAAATCTGTTTCAAAAACCCATATCGGATTTGATAGGTTAGGAAATTATCGAGTGACACGCGAATCAAACACTAACTTCGTGGAGTGAGCAAGCGTGATCCCTTTTAGCAAGTGTTCGTTGAAGTGCACAAGGATTTTCTGTTTTGTAGCGCGAATTTAATAACGGAGGCCTTTAGATTTGAGTACGTGTACGAGGTCGAGTACGAGAACGACTTTTCAATTCTAGTTTACAGGCTTCACATTTTCACGTCACATACCCGTCTCATCCGATAAGCTACCATCACTACCTAAAACCAACATGAGGAGCGAGGGCTCTGGAAACGTCACTGGTTTGAAATTGAAAAATCGAACTCGCGTTCAATCGTCCGATCTAAAGGTTCCTAACACAACAGCATCCTCGTCGCTGCCTCCTGACGACATTTCTAATGAAAACAGCGGTCTCAGTCGCAAGAAAAATTTGCATCTATTTAAAAAGTTCATTGAAGCGGTTTCAACTCACAACACGCAGCTTACCTGATCTAAAGGGCGACACAGCCTTCTTTATTGTGCCCTTTTGAAGAAACAATAAAGACAGATGAAAGTGAAGAACGATTTGTTCATTTTCGACCAAAGACCTAGCCTCCTGCGCAGACGCTCTATAGGCTCGGGAAGATTGCGTGACGAAGGACTTTGGGGAGGGGGAGATTGCGTGACAATCCCAAATAGCGTCTGCATAGAAGGCTACCAAATACCTCAAGACTGTTCAAACTTGAAAGTGAGGCTTAATTTCTTCATGGACGTTTTTGGAATCAATCCTGCTTCTCACAAACAAAGTGAAATTATTTTATCGATCGCTTTTGTACACTAAGTGGACAACCATTTTAGTAAAAGAGCAAATTTTTAACATTTTGGTTTTGCTTTAGTGGCAACAGTTAACTAACAGCGGTCGTCACAGCTCTGCCATCGCAGGAATTTCACAGCAAAGCAACCGTACAATCACTGACTAGACTATCAATTCTCTACGATCATTTCTAAATATTCAATAAGCGTTTGTTGTGAGAATTTGGTAGTACATCAAGACACTATTAGCCAGTTGATGATCGTCTTTATTCTCAATACGTGTCTGCTTGTTTATGTATGAACACTGTAATGAGACGTTAGATGTTGGTCAGTACCTTGATGCTGAAGTGCCGTTCTCTGGTTACTGCGTTGTTTTCAGGCTTCACCTTTTGTTTGAGCTTTCCAGGTGGATAAACTGAGTCCAGATTAGATCTGCAGAGAAAAAAAAATTAAATACCACAAGCAGACAAACAAGAAAATGAAAAGCAAATCAAATGCCACAAAAGGCACAAACCGGAGACTATAAACAAACAAACAGCTAAACGAATACTGTGAGCAGCACAGAAACTGAGACACAAACAGAAAACACAAACTGAGACTTAATACTACAGACAAACAAACAAAAAAACAAATTGGTTAGAATATAAGCAAGAAAACAAAATATTTCAGCACCAAATCTTGTCCAAAGTCTTTCAAAGCAATAGCTCATTTTACAGTTCCTTTCTTGGTGATCACGCCTTTTGAACACAAGCAAGGCTAGAGTTGACTTTGTTATGACACAAACCCAGTTATTTTTCAAATGTAAGTAATTCTGTTATCCTGCTAACTACTTTCTAATCTCTATCATGACAAGGTCAACCCAAACCTCGTTTTTATACAGGGTCTCGGTTAGAATTCACAGCGCTGTATAATGGCCTATTACTGTTACATTGTTTCTTTGTCTTTCACGACCTGTTGTTTACATTTTTGAGTCATACTTACACCCAAGCGCCTGGTTTGTAGTCTCCCTCATTAAACTGAAGTCGTAAAGCAGCCAAGAGGTAGAGCGTGGTGTCAGGCGCGGGATATTTACCAAGAATAATTGAATCACAAGCCTGAAAGAATGTAAAAAAATATTGATAAGAAAACAATTCGAGGCATCCTTTGTGTACCCAGTTAGTTTGATGGAAATGGCAATGAGGATCTTAAATCTTGAGGCTATGAAAGATAACACTTTATGACCAGGCAGGCTACACTATCTATGTACCAACATGGTATTTGAGCTGCGTGTAAAATACATCTCCTCTATTATGACTATGTATTTTCTCTTCTTAGTCGCCTCATAACATATTGATTTTGTTAAGAGAAATAATATGTTGATCTCTCTCTTAACTGACCTGTTCATAAAGAAATCCATACTCGACTGAGTCTACTTCCACTAGCTCTGGTTGAAGGAAGCAAAAGATCTTGAAGAAAAGCTTCCACGCATGACCAGCTTCTGTTAGACCTAGCGCCTTGTACCTAAAATGAAAAAAGCAACGTCTTGTTGGGCTGAAAACTCTATCTTCTCAGACTCTAAGATATTAAAACCACACAGTAACAAACATCGAGGGAAGTAGGGGCTAAACAGACTATTTGTCACTCTTTTTGGTATACTATGTATTATTTCTTCACTTGCAAGTAATATATCGAACAAGAAAGACCGCGTTTAACCACATTTCCAAACACTGAGAAGAGATGACGACGCGTAGCGGAGTATTTTTGACGAGCTTCTAGGTGTTTGGAAATGTGGTCAAACACTGTCTCGAGTGTTTAGTATATCTTCTCAATCGAAACTAAAACTGAGAAGAAAACGGAGAACTTAAACCGTGAAAATCTATGCCAATTAAGATCAGATATCCAAACACTATCACGGTCGTGATTGCCTTTGTTTAAACTTGATGAATTGTTAATGAGTTTGAGAAAATGATATCGAGATGTTGTCAAAAGGTTCAGTGATTTCGCTCAATTTTATTCATTTTTTTTTTATATAATTATTATTCAAACACGTGCATTAGTAACATTACTCAGCTGTGCTTACTTCTCAAACTTGGACAAGACGTCTGCAAGCACAGTTCTGTCTTCAATGTTTTTCTCTATCGCACCACACTGCTCAAACAGAGTGAAAATGTTGCACTTCTGAGGAATGTTCAAGCCCTTGCACAGCTTCTCGACAACCTGTGAAAATAAGACAAGACAGCAAGGAAGCAAATATTGTACCCGCCTAACACGCGACCAGAAACCAAAAACGAAATATATTAAACTTGCTGTACGACATTTTTAAGCAACTAACTAAATTTCTAAACACATTTTCAGGGTATAGTAGAGTAGAATTGCCCATTTCCGAGTTGCCTTAAGCCGCTCCATCAAAACGAGGCCTGGTGCACAACCATTCAAGTGAAAAAGAGTTTAATTTGCACGCGCATGAAATCTCATTTTCGTATGAAAGGACGGGCACAAAGACTCGCTTTGAGTAAGAGGCTAAAGGAAATTCGGAGATGGCCTATTGGAAGGTGCGGTGGCTTAAAGGTTAGCCCGCTTGTCTCCAGATCGAGTGGTATGGGTTCAAGCCCTGGCCGAGGTCATGTTGTTGTGTTCTTGGGCAAGACACGTACGTCTCACAGAATTTCACTCCACCTAAGAATATGAATGGCTTCTGGCAAATGGGTTGGGGTTAACCCTGCGATGGTCTAGCATTCCTGGACCACTTTGCCGACGCCGACTTCAAACTACAATCCCTATCCACCCTTGAAAACTAGGACGAATGCAGGCAGGGACACATATCCTCTCGTTTTGTACAGTTTGCCAGATAACGTTGGACTACTTCTGTAATAAACATTGTCTCTGACTTTGGACCCTCAAAAATGTAAATCGAGCCATTGAGGAGGAAACACGTCCTGTATGCATTACACTTTTGCATAAAATGCCAGACCATTCCTTCCGTAAGTAACGTACCTCTCCAGCCGTGGTAGCGGAGTTAATGGTGATCTTGCAGGACCCTCCTCCATAACAGTGCACAACAGCGGACAGCTCTCGACGGCCCTGTGTAAACAAGACAGCTAGGTGAGAGAGGTATTCAAAGAAATGAAATATTAAGTGATTGATTATAAAAACTACAAAAATCTGCAAAATTACAGTGAATAAAGAGTTGAAAATGTCATAAGCCAGGCACAAAAAGACTCAAAGATGGATAAAACTGGTAACGATCGCGACGTTTTCGAAATGGAAAATATTCGACGAACTTTGTATTTTTTCCTTTTTTTCAGTACACCATGTTATAACATTCTTGTCTAACGGATTATGTAACATGAAATTCTTTCAGCACTATTTTTAAAATCCACTGTTAATCTTTGCTTTAACTAACGCCTCAACTGACCTTGGTGCGATAAAAAAAAATTACACCATTGATATAAAAAAGCAATGGCAGCAGAAAATACCAACAAAATCAGTTAACTGTGAATCTGAACATGTAAGGTGTGCACAGAGAGAATGATCAGATTATTACCAAAAGCGAGATAATCTCTTCTCTTGAAGGTGGGAACTCCCTGAAATTCACAAAACAGGCTTAATTATTAAAAATAATACATAACAACTCTGCATTCTACAAGATGTAACTAATTTTACAATAGTCATTAACCTCAAAATAGATGAGTTGTCTACCATCAATTTAATTCTTGACTACGATAATTCTTGATTTAATCAAATCAAATTTTACTGGACGTAGTAGAACAGATGATCGCTGTGAAAAAGCAAATCTCACACTCAACATCATGAATTCTTTCCAAAGTCAGTCTGTGTTATTTATTTTGCTTCAGTATGGTATAAGAAACATAATCACTTACCTGGGTCTTGTTCGTTTGATACATTCCAAGGCAAACACAGCAAATTTGGCCATTTCTGAGTTGGGATGTTTTTCCCTATTCCTGAAAGCGAAGTAACGGAAATAATTACACAGAGTCAGCCAAATTAATAACAAGCTGATCAAGGTTACAACAAATTCAAATAGTCAAAAAAAAAAATCAGCAAGCTGAAACAAGTCCAAAAAGTGCAAAGAAAACGCGCGGGTAGCCAATCAGGAGCAGGTTTGTAACCTGCTCCTGATTGGTTCAAACGACTGTTGACTAGGAAGACGCGCTGCACGAGTACACGTGACCAAACACAACTTCGCTTGACAATCCAAAGAAAACTGCTGCAGTATATTTTTCCGACTCCGCCTGCACTAACTGCTTACACTTTGTTCAATCCACTGTCAAATAACTGCCCATGGATGTGCTTAACACTAGAACCAACTGTGAAATCTGATGTACCATTTTAGCTTACCGTTTCAAGTGAAATCTTAAGTAGCGTAGATACTTTCTCGTTGGAACGAATGTACAACACATACAAACCAACACCTAAAACAGAAGAAAGCAGTCAGTGAGAATAATAATAAAAAAAAAAGAAACACGAGAACAAAGTTTAAAGACGACCACAACTTTTCAAATAGATAATATACCTGCATGTTTCTCAAGTTTCCAATGGAATCCGGAGTGGGGTGGTTTGTGGTCTGTTTGATCAGCTGACAGAAGACCTAGGACAAATGAAAGTGTTACGACAATATTTACGTAAACCAAGGATGTAAAGCAGCAAAACTTCATAGGATTAGCCACAATCCACGATGGAAGCCTACCTCATCTCTTAGGGGTTTCAAATCTTGGCAGGTTTGCAGGATCCCCTATAGATAACAAGCCATCATTGATCAAAAAGACGGCGTTTAATGTGACTCAGTTACAAATATATTGTATCGATATCAGTGCTATCACACTGATAAAACTCCTCATCGCTATAACAACTCAATCTTAAAAAAAAAAAAAAAAAAAACATAAATAAAAAAATAGAAATAAAGTGAAAACAGGACTACATCGGCCTTCTCCAATGAAGTCCATATGTGCTTAAAGGAAACAATGGCTTCCAGAACCATTTTTTGACCAAACATTCAAGGAGGTACTGCTCACGGATGGTGGTACCCTAATTGAAGCAATTTTTCTTATCGGGCTTATTAGAACCTTTGGTCGTTTTCTTTCAAAGTAAAAGACTATTTCACAGTTTGTTTCGATTTGACTGAAGGTATTAAACTGTACATCGAAAAAATAGAAATTGTATCATAACATAGGGGGAGAAGGGTGTTAATTAATCAAAATTATAATGATGTTTGGCGGCCAATGAGACCTTATACTCTACAAAGCCATCCCTGCACTGACAGAACATACGGATATGCAAACTAACATAAATTACTTAGCATATACAATTTTTCTTATTTTGTAAAATATCATTTTTAAGACTATTTATGTTATTAACAGTTATGTTGGACTCTTGGTGTGGTCATTTTGGATAATTTATAAGACTTGCAATTTTCTTATTTGTATCGAGAAATAAAACTGGGAATATATCACTTTCAGTTTAAGAGTGATTTTGATAGCACTAATAACCACTACAATGATCTATAACTCTTGTAGCTAGTATCACAAGAAATATTTTGAGGCCAACAACAATGATTCCTATGCGATGTTGACTCGTACTGACAATTTTCCGAAGTCCAGAACTACTCGATGTCGAGTGCCGTTTGTTTATTGGTTAATGGTACTAAACTGTGCGGTTAGAGTTCTCCTTGTACCCTTAGTCTGCTCCTTGTCCCTCGCTAAAAACATCCGTCCAAATTTCCTGAGGTTTGAATTGTTTTAGGACGAATCGTTGCGATATAGGAAGCCTGAGCTAAAGATATGAGTTTGTATGAATATGAAATTCAATGGAAGAGATTTTGTTTTTCTTCCCAGAGTTGTAAATAAAGTAATCTCAGTTAGGGAGGAACATCAGTCTCTCCTTAGCAACAGGTTTATGAAGCTAAAACACTGAACTACTAATGCAGCATTTCGGTCTTACGTTAGCAATGGTTTGATCTGTGTCTTTCCCGAGATTAAGGCTTTCGTCCATGATTTCTTGATGTCTACGACGAAATGAAGAAGGAGTGATATGCACTTGAGTACTGAAATCATGATGTGGAAGCCTTTTTTTGTGCTTCTCTTTGTCCCAAACATCATGTATTTTTCCCGACAAAGTGTCACGTACCCCAACATCAGTCCCAGGACGTAGATATGCTTTGCCATACATGGATAATACATGACCTTTCTTATTTCCTGAAAAAAAGCAGAATTTAGCGGATTTTTTTTTGTGCTTCTTTTGTTGGTGAGTGCATGCATTTTCTTCTTGCTCCGTCTTGGGTGCTTTATTGTCACAGAAAAGCCCTTTTCAAGTGCATCCAGTTTTGCTGCTCATGACCAAATTAAAACATGCTTTGCACATGATCGACCAACTTCCTCTGTAGTGCATAACTGAAATAATATGAAAACAATAAAAACAATGTTTAAATACGTCAAACTCATCAGTACTGATAGTACTGAACCCATCACAGGGGTGCTGTTAAACTTATAAAGTAAAAAAAAAACTACTTAAGAAAACCACATCAGTAAAACGTACATGTAAAAATCACATTAAAAAACTGCAAATGAAAATGTTCGTTGAGCTTTAATTTTGTCTAAAAATACTCTAGAATTCACATTTCTAAGCTATAATGTATTGAAGTACCTAAAAGAGGAAAACTTTACGGCCAAACTCCAGTTTAAATTTGGGAAGTTCAACTGATGAAAGTTTGTTCCTTGTATTGAAGTTGTTATTTTTCCTCGTACAAGGTAGACATTCAAGCTTTCAAACAGCTGTCAACCAATGGAATATTAGAAAACAGTCCTAAGAAAATACGCGCTCTGATTGGTTAAAAATCGTGTTTCTATTAAACAATTAGATTATGAGCTCGAGATTTCTATCNCAGGGATAGGGTCTGCAATAGCCTCTTGTTCGAGTAGAGAACTGAAAACTCGAACAGCTTCTTCATGAAACGTGCCATAACCTTTACCCTTTGCACCTGCACGGGGTAAAACAAGAGTGAAAGAAGCAAATAAATATGGAGACAAAATAAACCAGGCCACCAAAAAAAACATCAAAAGTAAAAGTTTTGGGGTTACATACTTCATAGCTAGAGCTCTTTTTCACAAACGTTTATAGCCAGTCACCAATTTGCCAAGCTCGTGATTGGTCCAAAACAATTTTTGATGTTTAACCAATTGGAGCAAAGGTCCTCCATTTTCAGCCAATCAGATTCTAGTTGAAAAGATCGTGAGGCTTTCCCACACTTGCCACCTTGTTACATGATTTAGCATATCTGCCAATGTCTGCTGTGATGGTTTTTTTACCGGCTTGTCGCCAGTTAAATGCCCAAGCTCCCAGTTTTAATTTTTTACATACATATTCTGTTCGATGTACGACTATTTTTATCATTGCTAACTGGTTTAAGCTTTATAACAAACGTTGGAAACACACTTTAATAAGGCAGATGGGAAAATTCGCTCAAGGTTTAACTCACGTGACGACCGTGATTGTCCATAAGGGAGGGGTAGCAGGGGAGCCTTGAGTGGTATCTTGGAGTACTTCAGAACTGGGTTGGTACGATACACTTGATCTGCCTCGCTCTCAGTCGTCGAAGTCTGTTCCAAAGAATGAAGTAAGGTCAAAATATTTACGGCCATGAAAAATAAAATCATTGGCGGATGATTAATCAAGGAAAAATCGAAAATAATTAGTTTTCAAGGACATACAAACTTGAAGTATATCAAACAAAAAATCATTGCAAAATGCATTTAACTTTAACTTTGTAAGAACGTCAAATTGTTTCCACAAAGGAAGAAATCTTTTCCATTACAAGTCTCGAGTTAAGAGTGTATGAATTCCTTAAGATACAGTTAATTTCATTAGTTAAAAGTATGCCTGTTGAAGTTAATTAGCGAAGTTCATCCAAATCAAAAAGACGCTTACTTTCAACTCTCCTACTAGCTTTTCAAAAGCAGTCTCCACTGGTGGTTTGGAATCTATCACCTGCAAAAGAAGTTTCAATCTCGTTTCTTTACTTTACACAATTTATTCAATCTACCCATGAGAATTTAGAGGTTCCTCAGAATAATATCTCTTATTTGATAACTTTCTTTAACCTCACCAACTGTTTTCCTTAAAGGGGCAATATCGCGGCGATTTTTCCGAATTTTTTGTCAAAATGGTGCTGATCGTATGAACTTCTCTCATACATGAAATGTGCCTAGAATGCAGCCGAGATGAAGACATTAACTGAATTCTTGGGAGAGCACTTGTAATTTGTCTTTAGCACAACCTCTAAGTCAAAATCATGAAGAAAATTCTTGAGATCAAAATTTTCTACAAGAATCTCTCATGATAACACCACTTTCATATAATAGATGTAGATATTACAGGTCTTTTGACTTCCCAGTTTTCAACGCCGCATTCAAGACAGTGTTGCATTAAGAGATACTAAAAATATAAGGAGATCACTGCTTCCGTGACAGAATGCGTCATTGTAGCATGATATGAGTTAAAACCAAAAATTTCTCTCAGAACAAACGTGTAAACATCCCAAAAGATATCGCATGAAGAAAAGTAACTGACTACCGTTTTGGTTCAAAGATGTTTTCATGAAAGTCACCAAGTACTATGTTTCTTTTTATTACTCTTTCTGTTCACGGAAGAGCTTTTCCAAAATTTAATAATCAGCGAAGGATTTTTCACACTGCTACGTTGGGACTACAACAGTGATCCGCCCTCGAGGATTCACTGTTTATAGTAGAACCCATTCAATTTACCTCCTGTATTGCATTAGCCCAACGGGTCGCCTCTTCTTGAAGCTTCGCGTGGAGGACGTAAGATCGTTTTCTGCCGTTTACAATAAACGTCCAGTCACCTAGAAGCAAAAATGATAATTAAAAAAAAAAACGATAAATCACACACCACAGCGAGTTCCCGTTAAGTGACAAAGCGTCACATTAATGACAAAACGACAAAATCCTGTCTTAGTTTTGTCTTCCGTTAAGGCAATTTCGCGTTTTTGGTTCGTTTTGTTTGTTTGTTTTTTGACCGTGCCTATCACGTTCCCATTAAACAGAGCTACGTCACGGTTTGCGCATACTGAAAAGTTTAGTCTAAATTTTTCAAGTTCGGAGTTTTTATCCGTAACCATCCTTGTTCCTTTATGGTATATTATTACCTCTATGGTGTTCTCCCATCTTAACAAACTAATATTTTCAGGTTTCCTTCAATTTAATGGAAATTCTGGACGCGGCCAAAAAATAAATTAATAAATAATAAATAATAAATAAATATACATTTATATAGCGCCATTTTCCACTTATTGTCCATGGCGCTTTACAATACTTTAAAATTAAAATCCTAATTCTTTAAAAACCTAAAATCCTAAATCCTAAAAGTTAAAATCCTAAGAATTAAATACGCCATATCTCAAAATATCTTTACTGAGCTCCTTAAAAAAAGTCTCCCGAACGGGTGAAAACGTGACGAAAGTCATTGAACAGGCCAATAGAAAATCAAAGGAAAAAAAATCAGAAGAGAATAAAATGCGCGTGAATTAGTAAGAAGAGGGAGAAAAAACTTTGCAATTGTTTTGATCCTGGGTCAGTTCATCTTCTCTCTTTTCAAGTAAAGCACGAGAATGCCAGCCGGTAGTATCCTACCTGCTTCCCGTTCTTCGGGTGAAACAACAGAGCAAAGACTGGTCAGCACTATAGATCCAAACTTGGGGCTGTTCTTCACGTAGGATTTGTAGTAATCAAGCGAATTGCCGGTCAGAACACACCACCTGAATAACACAAGAGAAAAATAAACCGCACGTCATTGATCATTCATACACAAATTGACCGCCCTTGTAACTGTTAACTCACGACGACGTAGTAACCACTGGCGAGTTTTTTGCCCAGTCTGACAAGTCATTGAGATTGCCTTGGAGCGGGGTGGTATTTCTTTTCAAAGCCTAAAGAAGGGGGGTAGGGTCTTTAAAAGAGGGGAGGGGAGGGTATAGACCAATCGTAATACACCTATAGTAACTTTAATTCTAAGGTCGAAATCATGTATGCATTAAGTGTAATGAACCTGAGAAATTTTGTCTTTTGGTCAAGAGGTGATCATGTCTCACGACTTGTTCTTCTTCATTTCTTATAAAAACGTGAAGAGAATTTAGAAATTGACCGCTTGCCTTTTCCTTCTTGAGTCGTCATTGGCTCCTTCTTTGATGAGCCAACCCTTTTCAATGACATCAGCAAAGCCTTCATCGATTTCGTGTTCCTTACTCTCCTGTATAGCTGTGAAACAAGAAAAATGCACGTTAATAAGAACTTCCTTTCACAGAGATCAGGTGAAGGCGAAATAGCTGTTTGAATGCTTCAACAGTACCGTAACCAACTAGCCACAGACGGAATCTGAGGCCCGTTGAAACCAGAGATGTTCAGTTGTTCTTTCCAACTGGTAAAAACTACTGCACAACAGTTAAGATCCGTTTTCGTTCAGCTTTTCCTCCTCAAATCACATTTATGATTTACTTCAAATATAGTCATTTCCACAAATTCTACCATTCAAATGCAAGAATAACACTTTACCAATGACTTCATATCTCAGCGGCAGAGGAGTTACTTGGGCATCACAAAGTTAACGGGTTCGAAACTCCGAGCCGTTTAACTCTGAATTTTCTTACCAGCCTTTGCCACAACTATTAATTAAAGGCTGTTTCGCAATTGTAAAAATAATAGCTCGTTGATAAACTTAATGTTCTCTGCTGCACGATTATTATTTTCTTACCTTCCACCCAACCATTGACATCTTCAGGAGTATCAGCAATGAAGTTCATCACACGGTTTGCCGTGATCAGAGTGAAGGAGTTAGGCCTGAAAAGAAGACAATAAAACCACTCAGCTGGCCTTTCCATCAAACAAAAGAGTACAATCAAAAACTTGTCAGTTTCATTTCCCGTTTCCTAAGTAATGTACCGTATGGCCCGGGCTACAATTTCACAGCGGTCAAAAACACTGCGCACGCGCAGTTCCCGCCAAAACCGCTAATAAACGCTTTGTATACAGATATCCAGCTGGTTTATCGGCTGGTAATTTGGTTTCCCACTGCTCGTTTTATACAGTGTTCTTACAAAAATTAGTACATTTTCGCGTCAACTCTTACAAAGTTCGAGGCCTCGGAAACCGCCATTGGTATGGATATTTAAGGTTTAACCGCTGTGAAGTTTATGCAATTAAAGTTATGAAGAAAAACAGTGGCCCTTGCACTTACTTATTTGCTACTCCGCCAGGTGTGCAAGACTCTATCATGGCTACATCAATGGTGCCCTGAACAGACAAATGACATATTTCGTGTTATACAGGAAAGACCCTAGACTAGACCAGAGTTTACCGTCGCAAAAGCACGATACCAAATGAACAACAACAACAAAAAACTAAACTTCAGTGCCATGTTAGCTAACCTCTTCCAGGCGGTCCGAGGTATTTCAGTTCGTTGGGCTCAAGCCAGAAAAACGGCGGAGCGAAAAGGAGAGAGGGGCTTGGTGCGAGGAACGAACGCCTTCCCAGGCCACGCTCCTCCCCATTTTTCGTTCTGCCGCTTTTTGCACTGCGTTCCAACTAACTGAACGCCTAGAGATGGCTACATTTGTGCTAAAAAGAATCTCTTGTGAGAACTGTGACAATGTCAAACGCCTTACCACTGCATGTTTAACGTTTGCAGATTCTTCTCTCATTCCATGCAACTCTTCTTCGGTTGCCCTGTGCACGCGATTTAGAATGTTGAACCACTGACTACGAAAAACAGAAACACAATAAACGTAAAAATCATTTCTAATTGCCACTCTGTAAGCATCACCTAACAAAAGAAATACAAAACAACTTACTTCCAGTCATTTGTGCTTTCAGCGATCACGTGATAGGTCCTGTTCTGTGTGATAATACTAAAGCCATTTTCTTTCACACCATCGTCAACAATGCGTCTACATAAAAAACAACATAGTTAATCATGAAATGATTTATCTGTCGGTCAAGGAAGCGACTTGTAATTCACCTTAACTGCACTGTTTCTTAGCAAAATCCGGCTCATGAAAACTGTGGGCTCGCTAAATCTTTGAAGACTAGGAGTGTCACCAGGCCGACGTCACAATTTTCGGCGTGTTCGAATTTTTTTGCGTTATGTTTTGATGTAATATATTAAACACGAAAAGACCGTGTTTGATCACATTTCCAAACAGCGAGAAGAGAGTTGAAAATACGACGCGCAGCGGATAATTCTTGACGACCTTTGCGGTATTTGGAAATGTGGTCAAATACGGTCTTGAGTGTTTGATATATCTTCTCAATCGAAACTAAAGTGAGGAAAACGGAGAAATTAAATCGTCAAGGTCATGATTTCCTTTGATAACCTTGACGAATATTAAATGAGTTTGAGAATGGGAGATGAAATAGGATGTTCTTCGAGTATTTCTGTGAAGATTCAGCATACTCGACAATACTAGGTTTACTTGACTGAAGAGTCAATACGCAACAAGAGTTGTCGATAGATTGTTGAGCAAGCTTACGGAATGCAAGCACTATAGTTCGTATTTCTCCGCCTGAAAAAACAAGGACAACGATGTCTGTGCTTCAGCTGCGTTTATGGTGCATCGCTAATGAAACAAGGCTTAAAACATATCCACATACACTGCATTTCTGATGTCAATGGTTCCCAGGGACTTGGCTCCCTCAAGGTCATTCTCATGATAAGTAAGCACATTGTCCTTGAGCACAAACCATCGGCGTTTCCAATTACGCCTGGAAACAACAAATAGCATCTGGTTAAAGAATATCAGAGAGTTTTAATACTTGAAAATAACTACTTATTTCAAGCATTCCAAATTACAGTTCTTAAAAAAGCTTAACACCTGAACGCTTGAATAAAGTTTCACATTTTTTCAAAGATTTGACCTGGTTTACGGTGGAGTAACGGTTTTCTACGGGGATTCTAAACGACTAGAGTTAGGCTACGTTATAATTTTTAGAATGATTCCGATTGACTCAGTGTCAACGGTGAGCTTCAAGTACAAAAACTCAGTTTATTTTTTTCGCTGTTATTTCGATGAAATGAAAATTACATTAATAAGCCGAGGTGTAAAATCTGTCATACTAGATGGCAAACGAACGTGACAGCCGCCAGCACTAAGCGGCTCCGACCTGAAAAGCTTGACTTTTCTTGATTGTGGATACGCAGCATGTAGCTTGTCAGCCAGAACATAGTATTTTACACCATGTCTAAGTCGCGCACAACTCCATGCATGAACATACAACGAATTTTCTTAAAAACATTTTTGTTCCAGCTCGAATTGAACGTGTCTTTCCATTACAAAGAAATATAGTCATATATTTTAATGTTCCATACCTTGATAAAGTTGTTGTGCCTCCACCTTTCTTCATTAGCCAGCCACATTTGAGAGCATCCTTGAGGAAGTCAAAAACAGTGTAAATAGATTGCTCTAACTCACCAAGGTATTTTTTGTTCTAAATTTTTCATTGCCACATGGCTAACGTAGAAATGAAACCAGTTAAGCCGTGTAAATCGTACAACAGGAACTGAAAAGTGTCTTATCTCTCATCTCAAATACCGTGCGAATAGCACAAAGCAATAATTTAAGAGTTCAACATTCAAATTCAATTTTTCAGGAGGCCCGAACAAGATTTGGCAGATAAAAATTGGGGCCATGACTTAGATGACTACGCACCTGTTTTCCTCGGAACCACATAAATGTGTCATCTCTAAGTACACACCAATGTTTCTTCCACAGACTCAATAAACCACCTGAAAGGGAAAAAAAAAACACCCTTAGGCCACTTTCAAATTATAATTGCATGAAGTCAAAACTTGTAGATGTATTACATGTAATTCTGAGCCAGTGGATATCAACGCTGTAAAGATGTTATAGAGGAAATCGGTCGCTATCGAGCTTTATCAGTCGCTATAGAGGAAAATTAGCTTGACAAAAGAGAAAATCTCACTGTATCACTTTCAACACAACTACATGTATATACTAACAAAATTGGTCACCATCATCAGACGCCATATTGAATTTCGAGCGTGACTCTATGTAACAATGCACNAGCGTTTCGAAATTGTGTGATCACTGATGGCAGTTATGGCTTTAAAAAACGAAGTGAAATTGTAGAGGTTGTGATACGCCAGTACTCGTGAGTAAGGCTGATTATTCAGCTTTATCATGGACAAATACTGTTTAATGGGTACAAGCTAAGCAGTTCAAGTGGAGGTTCAAGTGGCGCCTTTTTACATTCATTCCTTTTTATCAGACAGTTTACCACTAAAAGGTTTACCTGGCTTCTTCTTCCTCGCGGCGTCTTTTCTCTTCTTCCTCCTGCAATGAAAGATGCTCATGTATTACTTTCTAATGTTCGTATAGAACACCTAGTCACTGCCCAGCGTATGTTCCTCTGCCCGAACCCCGTATGTTGTTAGCTAGAGGAGAGACTGGAAGCAAGTCGATTAGGACAATACGTGACACGTGACCACCCCCTCCCCTTGGACTGCATTCTGACTAAGAAAAACAATATCAAGGTACCTTTCTACGTGCTTCCTCTTCTGCCTTTCTTCGGGCTTCCTCCTCCAGTCTCCTGGCCTCTTCAATCTCGCGGGCTTTTACTAGCACTGCTTGCCGCTGTTCCTCTTCTTGCCGCAATCTTTCTTCTTCTTCCTCTTTCCTTCGTCTTGCCTCTTCCTCAGCCTGATCAAAACAACAATTGATATCAGTCTTGCAAATAGTAAACACTTGCATAAAGCAGCTTTAAATTTAATAATTACTTCATCTATCTATTATTATAGCTTTTACCTTGCGTCGAAGTTCCTCGAGCTCTTGTATCTTTCTTTCCTGTTCCAATCTTTCCATCTCCCTGTAAAGATAACATAACATTTGCAGTTACAAGCTTTTTCTTTTCATGCTTGTGGTACGTCGTACAAGGAATTCGACATTCCGTTGTCCTAGAACAATAGAAACCTTTTAGATTCTAGAACGAATGTAAGAACTACCAACAACAGTGCGCGCGCATGCAAACCGGTATTTTGGTGGGAAAAGACGTACTTCTGACTTCCCAGCAGTGGCGTCAATATGAAAACAAATTCTTAAAAGATAGTTTTGCTCTTCATACCTTTATGGTTAGCAATTCGACCGAGGCAACTAAGCCGCCAACAAAGAGCAACAGACAGCTTTATGTCATGATGTTTTCTAGTATTTCGCCAGAAATTTAGGGTCACCTATCCTAGTCGCAGCCTTCCTCCGAGGGCTAGTAACAATATAAGTTATAAATTAAACTGCTCTAAGAATCAAACGAGATGGTTCAGTAGTGGCCTTAAGTGACTAAAAATGTCGCGTAAAGTTTATGATTAAACGTTTTCAGAGTAGCTCGTTTTAAAGAAGAAAGAGAAGACTGGAATACTTTCTAAGGTTGTAGCCAAAACAAGAGGATGATGAAAAAACGACAAACATACCTTCTTCTCTCCTCTTCCCTTCTCCTCTCTTCTTCTCGTCTGCGTTCTTCTTCTATTCTCTTCTCCTCGAGGAGTTTTTTGAGAAGTAATTGAGCGGTTCTTCTTCTCTCATACTGAAAAACATGGCATCCACTTATGATGAACTCCCCCGGCTGTCATACGCTCGCAAAGAATGTGCACATCATAACACGACACCCGACATAAGTCGCAAAGAATGCATTATCAAAACTAACCTTTTGAATGACGATAGCAGCCAACCGCATCTTGTGGTAACGTTTCTTGTAGTAATGAGCCTGGAGGAAAGTTTGACCATATTTGTTACACATTTCATATAACATTCAGGATTACAAAGTCGGGGCATAAAAGTTTTCTTTTTTGGGATGGAAGGGGGGTGGAGAAACCGTGGGAGGGGGGACGAGCAGCCTGCGATAATGTCTACAGGAGGTGGGAAAAGAAAGAGAGAAGGGGGGAAAAGATTCAAAAGGGACATTTCGTAGCATTTTGTAACATTTTGCATTAGAATAAAGTTAGCGTAGTCTATAGTGAATCTGCAAATTTGCTTGGTTCTTTTACCGTTTTCTATCTGTTGATCGAGAACAGTTGTACCAGTCATTTTTCCACACGTATCAGTGCAAACCGCGCGCAATGTTCGAAAACCTTGAATTGCCCGATATAACACAATGAAACGGTTCTTTTCTACGCGTTACCTTACTTACGCGTTTTTTGTGCAGTGAGACTACGATAAATTTAAACTGAAACGAATAGACTACTCACCCTCTTCCTCAACAAGCGATAGTTAACTCTTCTCGTAGAAAAACTCGGGCTCGTGGTCTAATTATTACTTTACAAAGCACAAACAGGCGGGAGTCATTAAGGAAGGGGCGCTAACTGGGCGGAAAAGGCACAGAGAGCGGGAAGTTCAAACTCCACTGTCCCTTTTAACCCACCCCTACAGAGTACCTTATAGTTCTTCTGTATCGTAACGACGTCCTCGCGAGCCTTCAAAAATCTCTTCCGCTGAAGGAATCCCATGATCCTTCGCTTGATGAGCATGGCGACAGCTTCTAGCTGCGCGTTTCTGTTCCGCTCGATCAGGTACTCTAAGTGATCTTTCATGAAAACCTGTCAGACAAGAGATTAAAATTCACATCAGCACCGTGGTAATGAATTATCGTCATCTCTCCGCAAGGTACATGGAAAAGTACACCCCTATCATTTACGTCAGAAATCCAATTTAGAAACCTTGGCAAAACGTGGCAGCTTGTTAATTATACACGAAATCTTTTTTGGGCGAATAAAAGTGAATACAACTGGCGTGGAGGCTGTTTGACGAAGTCAACCGATTAGGGAAAGTGTAAACTATCATCAAGCAAGGTGTATACTTCGTCAACCATTTTAACACTACAACAATACCAATTAAATTATAGTGTCTACATCATATCAGTTGTTTCAGAGTCTGTCGGGTACATATGTTAAATGTCATTCACCACCTTAATTAACAGTCGATAATATCAAAATTGTATAATGCATTATGGAGCAGTTGTCAATAGAGTGCCATGAAACCAAAACCAATGCAGTCACTCTGGCCAATCACAAAGGACA